AAGTGGCAACAAACTGTTGGCGGCTTTTGAGCAAATATTGTTCGAGTATTGGAGTATTTGGCAGATAAAAAGCTTCACGCGTGGCAAACTCTTTTCAAGTGCAGCATGCAATTTTGCAATATTGAAAAGAAGACCTCAGAAAAAAGTGAAACTCGGAGGCTCTGGCAGATACCCAAGCATAACTGTAACCATAATTACCGACAGCAATGAAAAGCGAAACAAAATTAATGAAGTGTGTGATAAGCGCTAAGGGAAAAACTCAAAGAAAAGAAAAGCCTCGCCATTCCGGTCGAGACAATGCCTTGGATACTAAGATACATGGATACTTGGACTTGTTGCCACTTGTACCCCGTGGATCTCGATGCCTGGGCGATGTATCTTGTGCCGACACGGAAGTGCGGGAAAAAATGTTTCGTTACTTGGCCAAAACAATGCACAATGTACGAGTACCAGACGCAAACTCACGCGGCAATTGTTTTTTTTCTTTTTTTTTTGGTTCGTTGTTGTTCGCAATATGTTTTTGTATCTTGAACTTGAGGCATCATCGGACAAGATGTATCTATGGGCGTATCCGCACTGCATGCATGTGGGCTTTTTGTGCAGGGGTGTTTTGGGTGTGAGCTTGACATGATATATTGTCTCTACATGCTCTTGATATGGAGAACAATTCTGCCGATTGTGAGTAATAGTTGTCATACAAAATAATACATAACTAAAATTCAAATTCAACTGACATCTGCCAGTCTAAAAAATATAAAAGAAGATATATAAATGCATAAAATAAATTAAAGGAATGAAAAAGAATTTATTAATCGAATTCTCTGAATGTAAAAATTATTATTCATTAAAAAATACTTCTTAATTGGATTAGATTTTCAATTCTGATTGAATTTATTTTATGCATTTTTTTCTAACGAAAAAAAACGTTACTTAACAATAAAATTTAATTTACAATTCACAATTGTTCCAATGGTTTTTATGAACAACTTTTACCTGAATCAAATTTAAAATACCATAAATAACATGAATCTACTTTACCTCAATTAAAGTTATTTACTGCTTCGAATCTTTAAATGAATACCTTCTGGGCTTCAAAGTATCTACTTGTATTTTACTTTTCTACATATAATATAAAACCCTCCTTAATAACTCAGAATCGACTCCAACATAAACATGAACAAAATCTGAAAAAAAAACAATCAACAAGAGGCAGCAACTATTTTGCCCAAATTATGTCAGAGTTGCCTCCGATGATGTCTAGCTCATGTTGAGATAGACTTTTTGCTGGTTTTTTCTATACATGTACATATGGGGGATTTTTGTTAAGATGATTTGTGCCAGTGCCACTTGAACTGTGCGTCAGCAATGATTGAGGGAGATAGAGCCCGAGATGAAGACGATGTCGAAGAGGCGATGGAGGCGATGCTTGGCCCTCGGCATGTCAGATGTCGATGGTGATGATGCTGCGGCTGATGTTCATGTTGTTCGTTTTTTTAGCCCCCGATGTCTGCCTGCAGTGCTAGGTATTATTGCATCATCAAGCAGATTGAGCAATGAGTGGATTTAAATACAAATTTAATGGATTCGCTTATGGCCCATTGTGTTGGGTCTTTGAACTGAGCCCAAAAAGGGATTATCGCTACGATTTATGGTTTAAAATAAATGTTTTGTTCTGCTAATAAATCAAAATAATTGGAAAATTAAAACCATTGAAATGTGTCAATGGTTAATTAGTTTAAACGACTTTGATTATTTATTTAAAAGTACAAACTTTATTTATTTAATTTCATATTTTAATAATTTGTGTGACAAATTGTAAAAAAAAATGTAAAGCTTTAAATCTCTTTTATTACGACTGATGTGTGATTTACTGGAGCAAATAAATCTTGAATTGAATACGCAAAAGCATACAAATCTTGAATAAAACATGCTGCACAAACGAATCATTTCGGTGGGATGAAGGTTTAAATATTTCAATGAAAATGTAAGATTTGTTTAATCTGCTTAAAAAGGATGTGTTTCTTTAATCATCTTGTGTTTAAATAAGTAGCTTACACTCTGCACTTTTTTGCTCTAAATATTTAACAAAAATGGGACGAAATCCATTTATGAGCTTTTGTAAGCCTCCTTTATTAAGGTTTGAATCATTAATTCACGTTTGAATAATTCACTTGAAGCAGGAAGGAAAATTGGTTGGGGAAAGGTCTTTTTCCAGCTGACAATTGTCCCGAAATTTGCGAAAAGAACCACAAAAAGCGTTTTGCTGACACATCAAATGGGAAGCACACAATTACCGGCCATATTTCTTCCCTGTTTCTCCACCATTCGCCCGCTTTCCTTTTGTGGGCTGAACACGTGCAAAATGTCCAACATGTTGGCCCAAATGGGGCCAGAGAGGTAAAAACGCCATAAATGCCCAGGTCCACTTACAATTATTGCCCCAGTGGAGGGAGACGGTGAGTTGCAAAAAAGCAAAATAGAGACTGCGGAGCTATGAAAAATCGAAAGTGGCAAGCCGAGTGACAAGCGGAGAGCAAAGGAGAAACATGTGCTATAGCCATTCGATTCGGCTCGGATTCGGATTTAGTATTTAGGATTGGGCTTGGGTGCAGCCCAATCTGCAACTCAGCATCTCTAATGCTCGCTGCAGCTGTTGCCAATTCACATTGGTTATAGTAATAGTAATGACCAATAAATCATATAGGTATACGAAAAACAATTAAATTAACTGAAATTTTAAAATAAATATATTACTAAAACGGTTATAATAAGCATAAGCTGCATTTAAGATACAACACCCAGAAAAAACTTTCAAAGCGGAAAAGGATCGGAAATGTTGGCTCACAAAACTTCCTAAAATTTTTAGGAACATAACATTCGAACGGATTGTTGAGAAATCATGAAAAATGTTCTTGAACTATTTGTATTTTTAAGTACACCCAATTTAAGTAAGAACGTTGTTCAAATATTAAATCAATTCTTTTAAAAATATGAAATATCTATTTGTCTAAAAATCATATTGTATTTATAAAAGATTAGGGACACTCAAATATTATTGACAATTAACATTTTCTTTTTAAAGTTTCATGACACAAATGTCGCGTCCACATGTTTCATTATCTTTGGTTTTAAAAAAACAAATGAAGTTGGTATACAAATTTCTTTTATACAGTCACCATTTTGTGTTATAATCCCAAAAAAATCTTCTTATTCTGCGTCAAACATTTTTTATGATTTTTTAAACCAATGTGCAATCGAAGGGGGGCTTGCAGGGTGGCTCGGAGCTTTTTGCCATATCGAAGAGCATGTTGCACAATGTCGCCGGTGCGAGTACATGAAAGATACGAAATATACGGGGGGAAAAAGCCGAGCACACACATATTGGAATTGGAGCAGAGATCAACGAGTCTGCCGCCAGTCAAAGGCAAACATCTGGTTGTGGCACCGCCCCCTCGCCCCTCACCCCTCGTAAAACTAAAACCCCCTAACCCCCGCTGGGCGACCAGGTGCAGCCGGTTTCCTGTGCGTTGGCAACGTGTGCTGCAAGTCTCAAACACACGGCGTTTGCCATTAAAAACGGCAAATTGCTCTGGAGCCTCCGAATGGGGGCAAATCTATGAGTTCTATGGCAAGGAATGTAGGCTTGATGAACTGGAAGGTGGCTAAATGAACTGAAAGGATGCTGAGCGAAGGCAACATTTTGCAACGAAATACTCGTGACCAGAAATCCAAATGAAATTTGCAAACAGAATGTGGTTAAACTTACAAGACATGATGAAATATGGTTTGAAATAAATTTAATTTAAAATAAATAAATTTTTAAATGTTATATAAATATTAATTTAAATTTTCATGACAGCTGTGATTGCATAAGATTGCGTAAATCTTCAAAAATAACCCAAACAATTATTTGTTAATTACCTTTTTTGGGGTGACACTTCTGACCACAAAACTGTGGCCCCTTCAGCTGGCTTAATTGAATTGTTTTTGGCCTGGCCTATGGGCCATCAATTGATTGTTTGCACTCGACACTCACCACAAAAAGAAATAATAACTGACCTGACTGAATAAACACCATAAATATCGGCACGACTTTGGGACTACCACAAAAATCGAAAGAAAAAAACAAAAACCAAACCGCCACCGCATTGAAAGTGAAAGCTTTTTTTTTAGTTTTATTTCAAACAATTTATTTTATAAATACCTTTTGGTAGCTCTGGAAAAAATGCATAAATTATTAGGGATTTATTTTTGAGCCAAAGACCGCCGCTGACGATGGGAAAAGTGCCGAATGAGAAATGATGCTCATCACCTGTTTTCTTTTCATGAATTCAAAGGCGGCGAATGTTGCCCCACCCAAAAGTCGGTTCAAGTTGAAGTTGAAGTGATGTAATTTCTCTCAGCAACGATTTCAATTTCTTTCCTAGCCGCAAGAAAAAAAGACTTGAACTTGGCAGCTGCTTTTTGTTAACCACTTACTCTAACCAAGGTTATTATAAATTTGCCATTAGGTTTAAAGTCTTCAAAAAATGCTGTAAAATAATAATACGAGTTAAATGAATCAGCTTATTTTTTATGAGAGATGATAAATCAATTTATTATTTATTAAAATCATTTTTATTAAACTTATTTTACGAGAGCAAATCCTCCATTCGTTGTGTTATGGAACCAACTCTCTTAGTAAATCTTTTGCATTTCCCTGGCGCAGTCGCAGCCGCATTTCAACGACTTCAAAATTTGCATATCAATGGGACTTTGAGTGGCTCTGCGACTGTGACATAATCACTTGCTGTCATTTTAATTTACTGCTAATTAATTTACATACCATCCAAAATTACACCCAACCAAAGACATAAAGGCTGAATGAAAACTCTAATTAATTTTGATGGAAATTGGCAAGCGGAGCGAACCTCTGGCGATCAAACCCCATCGAACCTGCTGCGAGCATCGTGGGCAAAAGACTTGAAACCTGGCTCAAACCGTGGGCCAAAACAGTTGAGCGTCGGTCGAAGAAGCGAACACAACGCGGCTGCGCATGCGCGTGGATCATGTACGGATCGGACGTGCCTAAAATTCGCAATTCAAATATTGCCTGAAGAACGGTGACCATAAAAGAGTTCTACCGCAAGTGACAAGTGACACATAGACAAACAAATTTAAATTTATATCCCCAAACCAAAAAAGGTGAATGAAACTGCCGGGTAAACTGTGTCAAAAGCAAAGAAAGTTGCGTTTATATGTGGGCTGGGTCCCAAGATCTTCCGAAGGTGTAACTTCAGCTTTGCCTGCTGTTTGTTTCTGTCTTTTTTTGCGGGCTTGTCAACTTAAGAGTGATCATCTGCGTGGGTCTTCCTCATACGATTTCGAATGCAATGCAAGTGTAATGATCACCATTTAGGGCTCTACGCCCAGGTATGCGAAGGAACTGTTCTTTTCAGGTGATTCATGCGTAAGACTTCTGCCCATATTGTGCTTATTTTTTTGGAGGTGCGGCAGAAGCGTGAAATGAATTTATATTTCACCCTGCTCTGGATTCGACATATGTAAATCCGCCTTTGGGTATGATATCACTCGAATAAATATTTATATTCGAATACTTAGCAAGGTCGATTGGCATTTGCCAAACTTGTTTCCACTTATTTTTCATTATAATTCGATGTCGAAATATTTATGTTATTTTTACCTTTTTGCATAATTTGTGCTGAGAAGGAGCCGAACAGGTTGTTAATTATAGCCCTAATTGAAATTTTTGGAAAAACCAAATATAATTAAAAATTGAGATGTAGGAATGCCAACTTTGGAGAGTCTCTAAACTTTCCGGTATTTTATGTGATTTAACGTTTTTATAGAATTCTTTGTAATTTCAAATACACATTTTTCTTGTACGTTAATTAAAGAATATTATGAAGCAATTTTGACGAATTCGACTTTACAATATATTGATACATTTTATTTAACGCAAAAAACGGTTGGTCAACTTTAATTTTTCTGATAATACCTAGAAGGCTTTTTATTTAAAAACTTTTGCCTTTATCTTTCATTATCGAGTAAAAACTAAAATGATAATATTTTATTTAAATTCATTTAATTTTTTTTGTACAAAAATCCAAAAGTAAAACACAATAAATATAAATCACGTTTCAAATTATTAAACCAAAAGTCTTAATAGCTCTTCCGGATATCAAACAAAAATAGATGGCTGTCTTTAACTTAACTATCAATCACCCACCGCTTACAAACTCGACTGATTACACAAAGTAATTCGACGCGAACTTGACATATTTGATATGCAAATGGCCAGAAGCCAAAGTCAAAGCGGCAATTTGCGCTAAGACGAGCCTGAGGCTGAGGTTGACCGGGGCAATCAGTCAACCGCAGAGCAGTGGAAGTCTCGGCCAAAGATGCCAATTAATTAACAGGGCCTTAGGGCCATAAGTGGTTCCGTATGCATATTCAACTCTAATTGCGGTTAAACACTGCGCTTGCAATTAACTTTCCACGCTCTAGAGCCAAGAGGCGTATACGTAATGTGAGTTTCACCAGCCAAGAATATTTATTGAAAGAGAGAAAATTTATCCTATAAATGTATTCCATCGTGTAGCATATGAGGAAGTTTATTTCAAAATAATAACTCATGGTTAAAGATAAATTTAAATACAAATTTTACACCACCATCATAGTTTATTTAATACTTTTTCAGCCATGTTCGCTTCAATACATATTTGATTTCTTTTGAATAATAAATAGCTCATGACTAAAGCCCAAAACAAGCCCTAAACTATTTTCTCTCGCGTGCCAATCGCTGGAACTGCATTCAGATGGGTTTGTGTGTATATTTAATGTTTGGATATATGCCATAAAAAGTGTATAGACCCTGAAAGACCCGCAGATACACGATTTCATTTGCGTGCCACAGCCAAGTCACGTTGTTTTTTTTCTCGGTGTAGTTTGTGTATTTTATAAATTATATTCCCATCTGAAACCCTCTGTTTTTTTTACTTTTGTTGCCCGCTGAAGCCAAACAAATGTTAATCGATAACCGAAGCGATTAAAACAAAGCAAGCAACAACAAAGGCAACACAACATTTTTATGCAAATGCACAAATTACAAATGCCTCGCAAAGATTGCGCAAAACCTTTTTTCGAATGGGCGTTTGCAAGAAATAGCTGAGGGAAAAAACCTAAAAAAAATCCGAAATGTCTAAAAAAAAATATGAGCTTTAAAGAGTTGAGAAAAAGTGTGAAAAAAATTTTTCAGACACTCCATTTTACTCTTTTTTTTGTTCCAGCTGAATTAATAAAATTTGCTGAGACAATAAATATTGAATGCTTTTCGTTCAGTGGGCAGTAGAGATTTAATCAAAGGAGAGCAATTTTGTTAGCGTTATTCTTTTTATACATTTTGCGATTATCTTTAATGTTGAACAAACACAAAATCAGATTCAGTGGGAAGCTGGACGTTTTCAATTTATTTACTTTGACAATGGAAAAACCCGGAATACTTTAATTTTATTTCGATATCACTTTGGTAAATGCAGCTTTCAAACCCATCAAAAATCTAGTTAACCTTGTTGGCCAAATGGAAATTTGTTTACATTTTTCAGTGCATTTATTTCACTTGGTTTTGTTTTGCATATTTTTTAATGAAATACTGTTGCTGACTGGCTCCATTTCAGTTTTTAATTAAATAGATAGTTTTTGGTATTTTCGATAAGTAAAGCAAATTGTTTTTTGGTAGCCAGAGTTTTTTGTAATAATCTCTTTTGAAGTCAACCAGTTGGCTAATGGAATATCGTGGCTTATTGGCAATTGGAATGCCAATTGATTGGCCATGCTAAGTTATGCAGATCCATAAACCGGCTAATGGTTGCAGTCGGGGAGTCGTGAAGTGTAACACCTGCAAGAGATATAGTTGCAAGTGTGCAAGGTAAGCCGGCACAAATGCCGCGGAAAATTCGCGGCCAGCGCCGAAGAACGGGTTCGATTGGTTGACGGAAGAGTTTCAGAGTATCAGAGTATTAACTACAAAGTTATGTAACCAAACAACCAACCAGTTGATGCACTTGGTTTTCCCACACCATCTCCGCTTTTTTCTCAGCTAATATTTTTTTTATTTTTCCACTTTTTTGCAGCATGCGTGAACGCAGTCAAACGACCCCAAGAAGGCGTCGAGCGGGTCCCAAACAGGCCTTACCACCCGGCAGCTCCTCCGAGGGGGTGGGCGCCCTCGAATCCCCCTACTACACCATTGACAACACGGAGGATATTTATGGCACCACCTTGCTGCCCTCGCAGCGCTGCTATGTGGATCCCTGGGATCTGGAGAACTATGATTATGTGCGCAAGAAGATCGATGATGTCACCGGTCAGGAGGCGGTTGAACCCGCCTACGGGGGCGTAGGGGGTAACTCCCTGACCCCCAGTCCCACTTATGGTTATGGAATGGGAGTGGGCGGAGGAGTGGGAGTGGGCATGTCCGCCACAATGCCACGACCCCACACCCAAAGCCGTCGTGTGTCGCGTGCTCAATGCCAACTGGAGTGCTGTGTGCCCCAGAGGACTCGTCGCCGAAGCCGCAGTGCCCGCAAGGAGCCACTCTATACGGCCAGGAGCGATATCTATGGGGCGCCCAGTCGCTATGAGGACTACATGGCCACCATGACCAGGCAGTTGCAGTTGGACAACGGCCAGGAGGAGGAGGAGGAGGTGGAGCCGGAGGACCTTTATGGCGAGGAGCAGCAACAACTGTACAATGGCTTCGGAGGTGAGTTACCAGCTTTCAATTATAAATTCCATCTATTAGTCATATTCAATTCAATTTCATTATCCTTAAGGTTAAATCACACGCAAATGCATTCAGTTCTGAATAATATATTGTATTGATTTTGCTTTTATTGTCGATTCCATTTGAGGCCATACAAAACGGCTTACAAAATGCTTTGTTTTGTTAATTAACCACATTAAAGTATACATCTTTGACTTTATCTTTAAAGTTGATTTGAATTTTAAATTAATTTAATGCTGCATCACATGCAATATGCCCTTTAACGAATTTATCTTATGAAATTGGTATTTTATATTTTTATAACACTGTTTTAATTATATTCAATTTATTTATTTTAAATTTTAATTTCTATCATGTTTTTGCACTTAAAACGTTAACTCTTTTAAAGAGGACTTAGTTTAATTAAATAAATAAATATCAGAGTATCATATACTGACTTATCTATTACAAACATGTATATTATATTTAATCCAGAGTTTTTTATAATTATACTTAATTTTAATTTCCAATTTTCAGGCTTCTCCAGTGCCAGTTCCACGGAGCACCCCTCCTCAATAGGGGATGAACGGCCCCTGCCCCAACGAAGAGCGGCCACCCTGCAGCGTCGCTCGGTTCCCAGTCAGATTAACAAGAGCAACAACAACATCGGAGGGGGCTATGGAACTGCCCCCCATCCGAGGCGCAAGCGAAGCGGTAAGACGGCGCCCCTGTGCGCCCCACCGCAGATCGATTTTCCCGCCCCGCCGCCACTTTCGCCCGCCTACGACTATTGCAATCCCTACGCTACACTGCCGTACTGCAGCATACCGGATTGCAGTGAATGTCAGCAGCAAATCTACGCCGCACCTTCCACCCTCTACGGAACCATGGGCGGCGGCGGAGGAGGAGGAAGGGATGGGTCCCGGGCCAGGGGCTCTTCACCCCATTCCAGCGGCGGCGACTCGTCGCTCTACTCGGGAATTTACGCCCGTAAATTCGGACTGAGCAAGAAGGGTCTGCTGCAGATCGACTACTCGTGCAGTTGGAACGACTTGGACAGGGTGATGCAGCGCCATTTTTGAGATCCACGGGTCATTGGCCTTCGGGTGCTTGGGATAGGGTTACACACCATCACGTTTGCACCGACCAGCGAACAGAAACATTATTGTACTTAAGTCATTTTGCATATAAAATAAAAAACCACAACACACATACACACACAAGACCAAATAACTTAACATGTTTGTCGTAGATTTATAGTCCTTTAATATTCAAATACTGAATAAATATTTTAAAGTCAAGAAGAAGTGAGAAATTTTATTGATTAAAACGGGATATGGAGTATTTTCCAGGATATGCATTATTAAGAAATATTTATTTCCTTAAAAAATATATAATAATATTTTATAGAATTATTTTTTTTCCTAACGAATTGATTTAGTGAATTGCCTAGAGACAACTAGTTAAAATAGCTTAAAAGGGTTAAAACGAAAAGAAAGCCAACTACCGCCCACCAGTTATAACCAGAAATTCTTTTGCAAGTACCACTGAGCCAAGTTAAGTTTAATCAACTAATTAGGCAGACCATTGCAAACAAAAACTTGTTTCACTAACACTAAATTTCCTCGTATTTCACTCTAATTAGTTGTGACGTCATGAGACAAATTTTCCAAGTTTGAAAATTCGTTTGGGGAAAAAGCGAACATGGAAATGGTTTTAGCGCCGGACTTTGATGAATGTTGTGGGATTGTCAAGCCTAAGTTTGTCGATTCGGGACAAATGCCAAGCGCAGGTGTGCGAAGGAATATAAGTGGGAGCTGAAAAAGTTTTTAAAGCACACTTTTTGGGCTTTGAATAGAGGGAAAATCCATTAAACTTTCTGCCACCAAAGTGGAAAATGCAACTTCAGCTCGATTATCTCAGCCCGAGGTGCACAAATACACAGGGGCGACCTGTACAAAAGGGAAAATCAATAAGGTAAATAAAACGGAAAAGATTTTCCTCTATCTCCTTTGCTCTCGCCCTCTATTTTGCGCCGCCCCTCCTCTATTTCCACCGAATGCGATTTCAATTTCTCAATCCAATTTACCTTTGCAACAGTGTATACACATCGATACACAGTAAAAATTTGTTAGAGTCTTAAAAAAAAATTTCAATAATAAAATATTGTTATCTTTTTATCAGTGAAAGGAGTGAAATGCGATTTCAATTTCTCAATCCAATTTACCTTTGCAACAGTGTATACACATCGATACACAGTAAAAATTTGTTAGAGTCTTAAAAAAAAATTTCAATAATAAAATATTGTTATCTTTTTATCAGTGAAAGGAGTGAAAAAGTCTTATTTAATAATAGTCACACACAATAAACATTTTAGAGATTTAAGAAAAAGTAATCATAAAAAATGATTCTTTTTTGAGCAATAAATGGAGTGTATAAATTCTATATATTGCTTAGTTAAAAATATAGTGACAGATATTAAAGAAAGAAATAAATATAATTCTTTCTTCTTTTCATACTAAATATTTAGAATGCTATTTCGTATCAAATTCTCTTTTTATGAGCTTAAAAAAGATTTAATTCTTTCATGTGTATCAATTCCAATACCAATACAAATACAAATACGAACCAAAGTACAAACACAAAGCACAAGTAAATCATAAAAAGCAGCAACAACAAACATCTGCAAAGCGAAAATCTGAATGCACAAAAAGAAATGAGAGGAAAAATGTTCCAAGTCGGGGGAAAAAAGGCATAAAAAAGCGAAAGAAATCGGGGAGAGGTTTTTGCTATGCACATAAAAGCGCAAATATTTGCGCAACATTTTCGTCGTCGTCGTCGTCGGCGATAAAAATCGAACAAGAAAAATATGCAAAACTGAACAAGCAGAAGGGGAAATAAAAACGTCGCAAGAATAAGCCCAAGAAAATAAAAAAATATATATATGATGTGTATATTTGTGTGGGTCCCTCTTTTTGCCACGGATTTGCTTTTATTATTGTATAACGTCAAACATTTGCATGCGGCGACGCCAAAATGTATGCCACACTTTGTTCACCAGCTGCCACACCCCCAAAGCCCCCATTACCCCCCAATACCCCCAGCCCATCGAAAGCCACCGCCCCTGGCCACTTTTTGCATTTGCATTTATGTGCGGCGCCAATTGGAGCTGCCACGCCTCCTGCCTGCCCCTGCCTACCGTTCGCAAAAAATGCAAATCGCAGCGAAAATATTTCGCACTTCCACGGGACGGAGTACGGAACCCATCCCCATCCCATCCCCCAAAATGCAAAACCAAACCCCCAACCGAACCGAACCCACCTGCGATTCCTATCTCGCTGTGAACGAGTGCTCGAATTTGGCCTGGAAAAGTGCTCCCAATTTGCCAGGCCTCACCTGGAGCTGAACAAGATGGAAAGCCCTTATTGGGTAAGTGTTCTGCCGGGCAATTTAGCAACGATTTCAAAAGAAAAATCGAATTTTCCTTATCTCTACAAATTATACAAGACCAGGCCATTAAAGATTTGAATTTACAATGCTCTTTGGTCTTTAACTTGAATATTTTAAAAATATAAAGCTTTTTTATCATTAGAACAAATGAATACCAAATACTTTAACTATTCGTTTGACTATCTTTTGGAATATTATTTAACTAACTCTCTTTTAAATTTACTTAAATCATCTTTAAAAACGTGTAACTTTTTTATAAGTCGAAGGAATAATATATTTTCCATTTTATAAAATTAAAATCAAGTCAATATTAAATTTTTCTATAAAATTTTCCATCCATCTTTGCTGAAAACTCAGAGTTTTTGTATACAAGAACAGATTTTATTCAATTTCTCCACGTTTTCTCGCTGCCTTTGTAGGTTTTTGTGTGCTTTTCCCTTCTTTTTTTTTTGGTTTTCCTAAGCTGGAGAACAGAGCGAAGCAGCAAAATGGAGATGAAATGTAGAATTTTGCGATTTTATGTTCCATTCTCTATTGCTGGCTCCAAAAAAAGAAAGCGGCTAAAATTGTCTGCGACAATTGTAAGTCGTTTGCACAAATTGCAAGTTAAATGGATCCTAGCCGGCGGGTCTGCCGCTCCATTTGATGGTGCAAAAATAGCAGGGCGACAAGATGGTTGCATATAATGCGACTGACAAATGCAAATGAGTTGGGCGGATCGGATCGGGCAGCTGACAATCAGTAGAGTATTATCTTTTTCTAAAGGCAAGCGACAGCTGGCTTTGCAATTCCCTCGAACATTCAGGTACAGGACCTCACTGGAGATTATGGCCAAGAGATACATATATTTAAACCCGTTCAACTTGTCTGTCAGATTGTTAAGAAATCTAATTTAAAGTTGGGTTATGGTTGTCAGAAACTCCTAATGCAAATATGAGCAAGCCAAACTTTAATTAAAACTATATTTAAGCTTATCAAAAGCAGAATGAAATGTTATTTGCTAAGCTGCGAACTCCAGCCCCCATTACTTTTGACTCTCCATCATCATATGTGTGTTGGCAAACTTTTGCCCTAAGCTTCCATCATGTGGGAAAAAATCTGCAACTAAATGCCCTTATAAATTACAGGCAGCTGTCAAAACTCACGGTTCCTGTTTGCTGTTGTTTTGTAGTATGCAAAACACTCGAGTTAAAAATAAACCAGCAACCTGAAAACTTAATTAAAGTTTTTTTCCTTTCTTTCTTTGTTGCTGCTGCCGTTAAGTGAAACAACAAACAACGAAACGAAACCCAGAAGTGAAGAAGGAAAAAGGACATGCCCAACAAACAACAAAACGCAGTCCCTCTCTGTGTGTGTTTGTGTGTGCGTAACTGCAGCTGTGTGGGTGGCTGTCTCGTTAAGCCAGCAACTCAAAATGGCGCCCGAAGTCCTGCTGCCTTGTGTTCTCTATGCAATTTGCCAGCCATTTTGCACCTTGCAATGAAAATGTTTTTTAATTAAAAACAAGAAAGAAAACTTTGCTGAAGGTTGTTGAGAATAGTTGGTACTTAGGACTAAAGGAATACCCAGTGAATATAGGGTCGACTAGGAGTAAAGTAGCCTTTCCTTCTGGAAATAAAAACTTCACAATTTATAAGGAATTTTTAGTTTTTGGAAAATAATATATAAAAATATTTTTTAAATGAAACAAATAAAGAAGAATTATTATTCTGAACAACTTATAAACAAATTTAAAATTATTATTCCGACAGAGAAAAATATTGTTTTAAGATTAGAAGTAAAAAATAAAGCTATTCGAAAAGAATTTTCAAAAAATAGTTATTATAAAATGATACAAAAATAATGATTTAATCAAATTTAATAATCACTTTCTGAACAAGGCCCATTAAAATGTTTTTAAATGATTTTAGATTTTAATGATATATCTTCGAACCTAAAAACAAACATAACTGCCATAACGCATACGCAGGGTACGCCAGCATAAAAGACAGCTTAAGTCGCACCGAGGTGTAGGAAGTGTCTGACATTTAGCGCCTTTGAAAAGTGCTGCAAACAGTTTATAAATTTGCATATATCTGTGTTACTATGTGCCTCAATGTTCATATAAACATATATATATATATACTATATATATACGTGGTGTGTTTAAGACGGGCCCCCGGGCTGCCATTTGCTAATGAATAAGTTAATTTCATTCTGGCCTCAGCAGGGAAATGCGGAACAGGACGCTCTTCGTGTTATTTATGTGGCCGCTGCCTGACTGTCGCCCATTTTAAAACCCTCAAAGTGGTCATTAGAGACTTTGGCTCAGTTGGCAGTTTCAGATTCAGTTCGAGCAAACACAAAGAGAGCGAGAGAAATGAGACATAACAGTGGGGCTGCACTGCGTATACTTAATTTATATATAGGCAACGCCCCCATCCGCCCCGTTGCACGTTCAACGTTCGGCGTACAACAATAGTGGCCACTAAAAGTGGGGTCTAAATATACGTACATATGTACATAAAATGTTCAGGCCCCAACTATATTTAGTTGCGTACGTGCAGAGTGTTGCTGTAAATGCAAATTAAGTCTTTTGCAGCACAATATATATAGGACCAAAGGCACCCAGGGTGCGGAACACTGGGATATTGCGGGTTAGTTGGCCCAGTGCCGCATTACGGCCAAAGTGTTGGAGTTACGTAAGCCCGAATCCATTAGTTGAAGCAGCTAAATTAAAATAAAGGACGCCAACCTAAGGGAATTACGAAATCAGGGGGCGGCGATCCAGGGTGTTACTCGATTGGGTGTTGGCTGTCAAC